CACCCAGATGATGGCGACTGAAATTGAAATGAATCGCGTAAGCATGAGAGTATTGATCAGAGTCTTGATCAGGTGACTTGGGATAATTGAGTAGAGGAAATATTACTCACAGATGATGAGGAAGCCGATGATGAAAGCATACGTTCTCCAGTCACAGGCCCTAGTCCACATGAACGAGAGCACTCGTCGAAGGAAAGTGAGCCTGCGGGAATCGGCCCTGGCGTTTTCCCTGATGGCATCTCCAACTTGGGGCCTGAACCTCGTCTCTTCCCAAGGATGTGCTTCCTGACGAGAACTTATGAACTGGTCATGTTCATTGAGAGTGCTGGCAATGGCTCGTTGCTCAGCGGCGATTTGACCAACTTCGGGAGTCAATTTATTGACCATTGCTTCGAGAAGCTGAACCCTATCCTTCAGATCATTGTTGAACAGATCAAGTTTTCCAGAAAGTGCATTCACTCTGTCATTGATTGAATTCTCATGGCAGACGATCTCCGTAACTTTGACTCCGATACCACTGAGTCGAGCGGAGATCGCTTCACTCTCTTTCTTTAAATCATCGTTCACCCTGCTCACGAGAGTCTCCACGCCAAGAAGTCGAGTCTGCAGCTCTAGATCAATATTAGGACCCAGAGAGATCTGCCCCGAGCTTGATGGGATAGTCGGCACCGAGGGCGTTTTTTCATTGAGAGCAGAGATATCCTTTCGGATACTAGTGATGGCATCACTCAAATGTTTGATATGCTCAAGGGTCGCCATATCAGAAGAGAAGGCATCCTGCCGAACACCGACAACTCGATGCCGCCTGGCCCGATGCCGGACAACTCGATGCCGACAACTCGATGCAAAAACAACCCGACGTCGGGACAGCTAGATGCCAGAATGAATCGATGCCGACCAACTCGGTGCCGGACAACTAGATGCCGAGAAAACTCGATGTCCGGAAAACCCGATGTCAGAAAATTCTCTCGCGAGAAGATTCTCTCGCTGAGAAAATTCGGTCCTATTATGGAATGAATGGAGTCGTTCGCAAGACGAAGCGGAAAAATGTGCGGCATTTGTGCACGTTCACCACGGATCGAACGAGTCCACGATGTTTCACACATTGCTGACGGACGAGTGACTCGATTCGAGAGTGGCACACAAGACTTTTCGGTCGCGTTCCGAGTTGATTTGAACGCAGTTATCTTTTCCGGATATCCCATCAAGCCAGTATGGCGTCGACCTCAAACGAAATTGTTTCGGAGCGGGGTAGGCCCAAACTAGTCCACGACGGTTATGTATACGTCAGGGAGAAGACGAGCAAAGACGGGTCCACTCGGTTCTGGAGGTGTCAACAAGTGGGTGCTTGCAAAGCTCGTTTGCACAGCTGTATCGACAGTAATGAAGTCCTCAAAGTTATCGGGACTCACAGCGATGAGCCTAACCCAGGAGCAATCGAGATGGCTAGCCGGAGATGTTCCTTGAAGCGTCGTGCGGTAGAAAGCCAGAGTACACCACTGCAGCTCATTGAAGATGCTTTCGAAGGATCTTCTCTAGCCGCCAAGTTAGTCGCCCCGAATACTGAATCCTTGGCTCGGACTGTGAATCGAGCCCGAAAAGCCGAGAGAAGACCACCGGCGATCCCTACTAGTCGGGCGACTATTACCATTCCTTTCGAATACACTGTCTACCAGAGTGAGCCAGGCCTTTCTGAATCTTTCCTGATCGGCGACTCGGGTGAGTTTCGAGAGCAGTGATGCTGATACCGATTGATCATTTATCTATACTCGGCTCGTCATTCGGAATTCACCCATAAATCTTCATCTTTTGAACCCTGCGTATTTGCTCTCGACAGGTGAAGGAGACGAGCAACGCATACTGGTATGTATTTGGTCGAGAGTCTGTTTCTCAATGGATCGGACTAGTGCGAAAAATTTACGTCGATGGCACGTTTAGCCTGTCTCCGGATTTGTTCTATCAGATTGTTGTCGTTCTTGCCGAGAGGGAAGGGTTCGTACTGCCGGCATGCTACGCTCTGCTGCCGAATAAGAGTGAAGATACCTACCGCCGCATGATTCGAATAATACGCAACGCCTGGCCCTGCATGAACCCAGAAGCGATTTCAATGGATTTTGAGAAAGGCCTAATCAACGCCTTCAGCGAAGCTTTCCCAGCCGCTGCGATTCACGGCTGCTTGTTCCACCTTGTAAAGAATTTGAAGAAAAAGCTCACGGAACTCCATCTGATGAGCCGCTATCGCACCGACGGAAACTTTTCGCTCTCTTCGCGCATGATCGCCGGTCTTGCCTTCGTTCCCCCGAGTTCCATGGACAACGTGATTGCCGAGTTGGCAGTCTTTCTACCCGAGGAGTTAATGCCAGTCCTAAAATATTTTGAAGACACCTATGTTGGTTCGTTACGGCATATACGTCCGGACGGGAGCGTTGTACGTCAAGAGCCATTGTTCCCCGTCCGCATGTGGTCGGTTTACGAACGCACGATCAACAACGACTCCCGGACGAACAACTATGCCGAGGCTGCGCATAAGAGGCTCCAGACCGAGTTTGGTGTAGACCACCCGTCGCTGTGGAGGTTAATCGATGGGTTGAAAAAGATACAGCACCATCGGGACATTCTTCTCGCCCGATACATCAGCGGCCTTCAACCGAGAGCAAGGCGCAAGAAATATCTCAAAATCGATGAAAGACTTCGCGAACTTGTGAACACATTCGGCGCTCGTACACCCGTGGAATTCCTACGAGGCGTTGCCAACAATTTTCTTATGGAGATCTGACCCTCATTGTGATCTTAAAAGTGCCTATATCCGCCAGGCTCACGGTCGAGCTAAATTAAAATGACATCGGAATATCATGGGACGTCTTTTCTCGTTCTCTTTCGATTCTTCCTCCAAGCCCTGATCACCGCGTTGTTAGTTCAGCATCAGGGCCATGTTTTTCAGCGTGCGTTTCAATCATCTAAGTCTAGACTTGTGGCATGATCGCATGTACGGTCGATCCACACATCGAGTTGACCGGCATCGAATCGTCTGGCATCGATTAATTCGGGCATCGAGTCGGTCGGCATCGAATAATTCGGGCATCGATCCGTCCTGGGATCGAGTTGTCTCGGCATCGAGCTGTCGGCATCGAGTTGTCCGGCA